AAAAGGAGGAGTAGGTCACAGAAGTACAGAGCCTTCCTTACCTATAAATTGTCACACTGACACTTCTACCTGTACCATTGGCCAAGCAAGTACATGGCCAACATCAGTGGATGGAGAAGTGACTCCAATCACAGTGGATACAATGCAGATCCCTTGGCAAAGGGCACAGAGACATAATTCCAATACAGGAAGAAAGTGAGGAATTATAAATAACAATTCAATCTACTTGAGTGGCCTTGTTAGATGAACTTCTGAAAAGTAGCTATCTGCTGGGGGAAGGCAGAGTATAAAGAGGTTAGCAGGCATAAACCCTTTTTAAAACAAGATAGGAAAGGAATGAAGTGAGGAAAAGAGAGGGATGACAGAGGAAAGAAGAATCTTGATTAGAAGTTGAAAGGATTAGCAGCCAAAGGATTCAATATTATGCAGTTTCAAAGCATAGGCTAAAAAAACACACAAATAAATAAATAAAAATAAGCACGAACCTAATTTAGAGCAGTGGTGAGGAAAGAAAACTGAGCTATTGAAGACGTATTATATTCAAAGTACTGTGATAGGCAATTTACATGCCCTATATCATATAATCTTTACAACAACACTTGAAGTAGATATTATTGTCAGGTTCCAAAGTCCACTTTGGAAGGAGGGAACTAAAATCAAATTTATGAGACTTGTTGCCTAATTAAATATGATAGTAAAACAGAAAGAGGAAAGTAAGATGACTCCTGAGCATCTACTTGGGAAATGGTGTAATACTTCCCCCCTAACTGAGATTGGAAACTGAGAGGGAGGGCTGGTTGTGAGCTGAAGTAGATACATTTTTGACTTGTGTTATGTGATAGCTATAGGCCCTCTATGTGAGAAATCCTGCAAATTTTTGGAAATTTGTATCTTCAAGCTCAAGAAGAGAAACCAATCCTGAAGAAACACTATAGAAATAGAAGCCAAAGCATTCCAAGCATGGAAAATAATATTAGCAAAAATACAAAAGTGTCTTGCACATGTTCATGGCATGGCTAGCAACTTAATATACTGTTTAGGGTACACATGGCAGAGTAGTATGGGATTAATTTGAAAACATAAGTTTGTACTTGATCGCAATTGTCCTAGAATTCTGGAATAGGACATTTGCATTTTTACCGAGAAGGAGCCACTATAGGTTTTTGTGCAAGCGTTGACTTAAAAGCCTGGCTTTTTGGAAAACTGATGCAGCAGCATGATATAAGCGAAACCAAAAGTGGGAGGCCACGTGGAAGGCTCTTGCGTTAGTTTTTGTAAGCACTAACAAGAACCTAAACAGGGTAGTGACAGTAGGAACAGAAATGAAAGAACAGATGGAAGAATTGCTTCTAAAGAAATTATTGTGCAGCACAGTAACCACTCTGCATACCATTAAATACGTGTCAAGTTAATTTTGTAACTTCATTTGGCTCTAATGCTTTCCTCTATTCAGGTATGCAGAGCCTTCATAATTGATTGGTCATCTGTTTATATACTTTCTAATTAAGAGTTATTAATTTCCCTGAGGGAGAGACTATGACTGTTTTGTTCTGTACTGTTCCACAACATTCATCAGAACAGACACTAACTAAATATTTATCAAGTCAGTGGCTGGATCAACGCTGCCCCCGTATACATCAGCATGTTCATCTCCAGGTTCTCTTCACTCTTGCTCTCTACCTTGTTCCCATCTCCCATTCTCCCACCAAACGCGTTCCTCCCTCTCACCTCCTTAAGGTTGCTCAGGGAGAACTCGCCTCACGGGAGTAACCAGATTACTTAGCAGTCTGCGTTTAGTCAGATACTGATATGATTTATTTTTTTTTCAATCCTACCTTCAACCAAGTTCAGCTGCTCTGTCATTTTTAATGTCATTCAGACATATCCAATAACTTTCCAGTCATGTAAAATATTGAAAACTCAATTCCAATCCACTTAAGCCTCTTTTATTCCCTTTGACCTTCCCCTTCCCAAGTTTAGGCTTACCCCAAGGGACTGGTACCTCTCTCTTTTCTGATTCTAAATTTGCTGCCACTGGGGCAAGAAGGAGGGATTGGAGGGGAAAACAAACTTTTTTTGTTTGTTTGTTTTTATATATGAAATTTATTGTCAAATTGGTTTCCATACAACACCCAGTGCTCATCCCAAAAGGTGCCCTCCTCAATACCCATCACCCACCCTCTCCTCCCTCCCACCCCCCATCAACCCTCAGTTTGAAAACAAACTTTTTTTACACTAATAGGGTTTGCTTTGAAGAGGTCTAGTTGGTATCCCCACCACCACTCTTTGGCCAACTCTGATCATCAACCAACCTCTGTGTAGCAGATGACAAGTAATTGCTCTCTCAAAGGAGTAGTGTGTGTGTGTGTGTGTGTGTGTGTGTGTGTGTGTGTGTGTGTGAGTTCTCTGGTATGGGACATCTGACTCCACCCCAGACTGATTCAAGGCTTCCTAAGTTTATCCCCTGTATCTACTGCTGGGGTCATCAGATCCTGGATGGCTAACAGTACGACCTTTGCCAAGCTGCTAATTTCAACTCCAATGAGCTTCTCTCCCTTCCTTCTTGCCCTTTCTCCAGTTATTTCCTTCTGTCAACTGGGACAGTTAGGGAGTTTCCTAAGCTGCAGTGAGTAATCAGCATAGTAGCATTGGATCAACCACCTCTTAATAAGTACTGGAGAATATCCCTAGCCCAATGTTTTTATAACTCTATAGAATATGAGGTACTTAATACTTTGTGCCTCTGCTTTGGATCCTAATCTTCAATTTTACACATACACAACATTCAGTTATTTGCAACTGCCACTAAACTTCATTTTACAAACCGTGAGTTGTCATTTACATTTGTAGCTACTGCATAATAAACATTATGTTACGTGTTACTGAACAGACATTCAGTGAGTAGTTAAACTGGGTCAGTCCAATGTACAAGTGACATACAAAAAGCCTGATGCAGTTCAGACTGTCATGCAAATGATGAGTTACACCATAACTCCCAATAGAGGACATTTAAGCCTCAAAATGGAAAATAGATTGGGAACGATAGGAAAGAGGAAAGGAGAAAAAGTAATTTAAAAATGATGGAGTAAACATAATCCCAGAAGAATAAGAGAGAAAAAGGCAGAAGAAATCCTTAAAAATATAATTGCCTTGACTTTTGATTGAGCTTGTCCAGAAGGAAAATAAGTTACAAGTTCTATTTGGCATATATGTGGGGAATTTAAATATGGACTGTATATTAGATAATATAACTTTATCAATGATAAACTTCTTGAGTGTGATGCTGCTATGGCTATGTAGGAGAATGCCCTTATTCTTGGAAGATGCATACTGAAGCATCAAGGGGTGAAGTTTCATGATGTCTGCAAATAGTGTTAGGTGAAAAAACATCTTTTTAATGGTTCACCTAAAACAAAGTGTGTTGTGTGCATGTGAATGAGGAAGTGGGTGTAGAGAAAAAGGTAGAAACCAAATGTGGCAAAACGTTAACCTTAGGTGACTCCGGGTCCAGAATATTCTGGAAAACACGGAAATGCTCCTCCAGGCTCTGTCATCAAGGAAGGACTTGCCCAGCAGCAGGGAGAGTGGTCAGCAGACAGCCTCCAGCTGTCAGCATCTGCAGGGTCTGCCTCTGCTATGGAGAGCAGCCTCGCTAGAGTCATGCTTCTCCCATGGCAGCCATATCCAGCTGAATGATGGGGCACAAAGGCTGCCCAGCACATGACCTCGAATAGCATGACCTTTGCTACAGAGGCTTTGCCAGGACCCATCACAATCCATCTCCTCTTCTGCCCAACTCTGCTTCTCATCCCTCCTTTTCACAGGTGTTGATCCCTAATGAACACCTTGAATCCAAAAAAACAAATGGAAGAGTGAGAAGAATCTCCAAAATGAGAATGCTGCATAGTGACAGAAAGCCTACCATGTTTAGGATTAAAATCTGAATCCCTGACAACCAGACTAATCTTTTCTCTGCTAACAGATCAGAATCATCTAGATTTCCATTAATATTTATCTCCTTGAATCTGAAGGGAGAGGAAAATCTATGTATTTTGCCCAGTTTGCTATTCCCATCATGAATTTCACTGAAGGATCACATCCGGTTGCTGAAGCACCACCTGTCCATAATAGCTGAAGTATTAGATACACCGCATGGCATCCAGAGCAACGCCAAGCCTTAGAAGTGAGTTACTTCAAAATCCAAGAACACAAATTCAACTAAAATTCCAAATAAAAGCTAAAAGACTAGAATAATCATACAAAATTTTAAACCCAGAAGTTTCTCTTGCTTAAATTACTTTCACACTCCAATTTAAACTGAGAAACATTATGCTGCTGTCACACTTCTTTGTTCTCCTAAAGAAAAAAAAAATCTGTATATAGCTGACAAAAAATAGGAACCTGTCTGCCAGCAAGTTCTCTATTCATGTCTAACATACTGTAGAGTCTATGCAGAACACATGGTCTCTAAACACCCAAAAGCCTCTTCTTCACTGCTTCACACGGCAGTATGTTTCTCCAGCGTGTTTGCACTACCTACAATACATGTCTTGCATAAGCATGAATTCCTTTGGATGTTTAAGTCATGCATTATTTTCACATGCTTTGATGTTATACATATGAGAATTATCATCTACATTTTGGGAGCACAGTTTCTTGTGCCTTCAGCATTGAATTTAATACTGCTCAACTGACATGATTTTAAATTCCATCCAACAGACTGTCAATAATGTTTATAACAGAAATTTGACATATTTTGTTTTCTCAAATAGGGAGTGGAGATAGCAACTACATTAGAAATTTCTGGGTGCAGTTTTGAAAACTAATTCAGCGTGAAAATTATCAATGATTTAGAATTGTGCGTAAAGTATTTTGGTTTTCCTTATTTTCTTATCCAAAAAGATCTGTTGCTTCACATCAGATGAATTTCCAAGTGGCAAAATCCATTGTTTGACAGAACACAAAGTAACCTAATCCTAATGTGATTTTTTAAATTACAGATGAGACCCATTGGCCATGATGGCTATCATCCCACTTCTGTTGCTGAGTGGCTGGATTCCATTGAACTAGGTGACTACACCAAAGCCTTTCTAATTAATGGCTACACATCGATGGACCTGTTGAAAAAAATCTGGGAGGTTGAACTTATTAACGTAAGTTGGTCTCTTAAAGACACCTTCTCATTCACCCTTTGTAAATGAACTTCCTGTTGTAGGTGGGTAATTTTTTCTTTCTTTGTTGCTGTTTGGACATCCATCAAGAATTTGCAGATATGCCTTCTGCTTTAAATGTATTCAAGCCCAAAGAGATCAACTAGGTCCACATAAATAGTTTTAATGCTGATACTTTACTCATTTCATTTTTACTGCTCTTTTATTTCTAATGGCATCAAGGAATGAAAGAAATGAAGAGGTAACATGTAATTATCCTGCCTTCACATTATATTTGGCATCATGAACATTTCTTTGCTAAAGGCAGTGAAAAATCATTTAATCTTTTAGAGAATTTCTTAGATTTAAATTTTATATTCTAAAACTGAAGAAAAACACTCATAAACTGAAAGATAAAGCATATAAATACCTAATCATTCAAAAGAGATTTTTTTCTGTTTATACCACTTTCTCTCCAAAAGTCCAGTCTCCACATATTTCATGTCATTAATTATTTTAAATGATCGTTATTAGTAGTAACTAAGTAACTAATTATTCTTTGCTTTTAAAAGTCTGTTTTAAAAATAATATCGTTTCTAGAACATCCACTAAAAACTATTCTTTAATCCAAAAATCACTTTAAATGGACAAATTCTTGGCTGCTTCTTCCAATTTGCCATCAGCTCCTCTTTGCTTTCTGTCCTTACTCCCTCACAAAAGCTATCATTATTTCAGAAGAAACCCATTGTCTGACTAAAAGCCTCTGATTAATTTTGTTCTTAGTCTGTGTGGCAACACAGTGGAACTAACAGAAACTGTATTGCATTTTAGTTGCATCAAGAAGATTTCAGTTCTCCACTGAGAATCCAGTATTCATTTGATGACTACTCTTAGCCATTTGTTAAAGGGGCACCTTCCATAGATCAAACAAACATGTTTCCAATTAAGTGACATTCTAGTCAATGGTAATGATACAACTTGACAAATATCTCTATATATCGTCTCCTGAATACTGTTGTTCCCCACTGAAGAACAAATACTTAGATAGCACATGAGTCACTCACTTAACTGGCATTAGCAGTAATCCCTCATTGAAAAGAAGGGATTCCAATAGAACTCTATTATAAAATGTCTTCTTTGAAGCAAGGATCACTGAAGCAGGTTGATAAGTCTCTCAAAATCCAAATGCCAGGGCTAACATTTAAGATGTGAGCTTGAACCACACTTTTCCCAGTGCTGGGAGTGCCAGCAGCCTAGGCATCCTTGTTCAATCACTGTGTCCCTTGAGGATGGCTACAATGACTGTGGGTCGGTGGTGCTCTGAGGCCCCAGGTTTGATGTCAGGGCTCAGAGATTGACCCACCACCACCTATACACCAGCCAACCTTAAGCTGGGACAGAATAATAGCCTTTTCCACCCATACAGAGTCTTTAAGTATTTTCCCTTTGGTTACATTTGCTGTAATACAGTCTGACTTCAATCTGGGGACAAGTGCCTGTCACAAGCATTGTATCAGAATTGGACAACATAGTCATTGTGTCTTACCTCTTGAGGCCAGTTCTTTAGGCCTGGAGTGCATCTGCATCTGACACCAACCCAGTATATTTTCCTTAAGCTGATAGAATTTAAAGTTTACGACATCTATATGGGCAAGTTCATCCCTTGATGAGGAGGCTACGCAAGTCATTTAATTCCATCGATATTTTTATTATAAACAAAAATTGGTCTGCACCTTTAGACTTGGAAATCAGAGAACAAAATTTTTATGCTCACTGGTACTGCTACAAGGGTAGTTCATTTGATGGTTCAGGGTTGTTGGGTTTTCAAATGAAAGAAAGTCACAATGTGTGCCTTCTGGCTTACAAAGCTTTGGTCTCAAATTAAAGACTTTAATTTATCCCAAATAATGAGGGAAGACATCCAAATATAAAATAATCACATATATAATATATGGGCCCAGTAATTCTATATTAAGTATCCATAATTTGTGGTTTTCTAGCCTGAAGAGAATGTGCAGTTACTTTGATTTAGAGCACAGCTTTTTAGAGAAATTCACATCCTGAATCTTTGTAATGAGTGTTTCATTTTAAGGAAACCAAATGACTTCAATAACTATTGTTGTGTATAAAGTGAAGAGAAAAGTGCAAGGGTAGGCTGTCTTTGATACAGAGGTCTGTTGGTGGAGGGGAGGAGAGGAAAGGGAGGGGAGACTGGCTGCTGCTATAATTACAAATACCTTCAGCATCATTGAATCGTATCGATTAAACCTCCAATGCCACATGGTATTTTGCTTGATATTTGAAAACAGTAATTCAGTGAGTATAAGTTTATTTGAAGTATTTCCATGAAAAAATGAAAACTATACAAAATTGTGATTTGAAAACTACAAATACAGGGGCGCCTGGGTGGCTCAGTCGGTTGAGCGTCTGACTTCGGCTCAGGTCACGATCTCACGGTCTGTGAGTTCGAGCCCCGCGTCAGGCTCTGGGCTGATGGCTCAGAGCCTGGAGCCTGCTTCCAATTCTGTGTCTCCCTCTCTCTCTCTGCCCCTTCCCCGTTCATGCTCTGTCTCTCTCTGTCTCAAAAATAAATAAATGTTTAAAAAAATTTTTTTAAAAAAGAAAACTACAAATACATTTGAAATTGTAATCTTTCAAAAAGACCCCAAAGATCTTTCTTTTGGCAGAGTGCATTATTGCCTTTGAAAAACAAGGTTTTTTTGAATAATCTATAGAAGATTTTGGTCACAACACCACCCAAAGTATAGGGATGAGAGAGTAGTGGAACTCCTATTTCTTAATATCAGCATTCTCAGTAGTGGGAATCAAGCACAAAGAAACTTTTAAGACGTAAGGTTTTACAGGCCCATGTGTGTCTAGACTTAGAGAATTGAGCAGATGCCAATAATTCTTCCTTTTATTACCTAATCTATGCTTCCTATTCAGAAGCTGTTTGATTAATAGCTCTGTTTTGTCTGTGTCTGCTACTATCATTAATAACATCATTAATACTACTTTTACTTTTGTATTGATATTTTCATGTTCTATGAATATATGGAGACAATTGTCAGGCAAATTGTTCCCTCTGCAGATGCTAGTGGGATAAATCTCTACCTTGAATTATAGTCTTCTCCAAAGGCTTGTTAAGAGAGCTAAAAACTTGTTAACAGTGCATAAGTACATGAATTTTCTTTACTCAGAAGGTCACTCAGGCCTTGCACAAGGTATTACCAAGTGTACACAACAGTTCCTACTGCTATTGATAACCTCGACAACTCTACATGGCGGGGGGGGGGGGGGTTAGATAAAAGGACTACATATTTCCTCCATGAAATATGTATGGATAATTATGAAATTGATCCATTTCCCAAACAAAAAAAAGTATTGCAATTATGAAAAACAACATTAACTTATTTTACCACTGTGTACCTACTAAAGAGATTTGGTTAGATGAAATAAATTTTAACACTGCCCAATTTATTAATGTGTAGGGGCGCCTCAGTAGGTTAAGTGTCCAACTCTTGATTTCAGCTCAGGTCATGATCTCAAGGGTTGTAAGATCAAGCCCTGCATAGGGCTCTGTGATGGGCATGGAGCCTGCTTAAGTTTCTCTCTCCCTAATCTTCTACCCCTGCCCTGCTCATGTGTACACTCACTCTCTAAAAAAAAATTAAAATTAAAAATTAAATTTATTAATGTGTGAATTTCAGTGCAGAACGTGTAATTCATTTCTTTCCGTTGGCTTTATCATTATTTACTAAGGAAATAATTCTAACCCATGCTTATGATACCCTACAATATTGATAATGATAAAAGTACCCATCAAAAAAATGAATAAATAAAATTCAGCTTTAGAGCATTTTTAATTCTCTGCTCAGAAGTACAAGAATAGCTTTAAAAATCTAACTATAGTGGTTGTGGTTTTTTTTATTTTTTTAATTTTTTTTTAATATATGAAATTTGTTGCCAAATTGGTTTCCATACAACACCCAGTGCTCATCCCAAAAGGTGCCCTCCTCAATACCCATCACCCACCCTCCTCTCCCTCCCACCCCCCATCAAGCCTCAGTTTGTTATGTTTTTAAGAGTCTCTTATGCTTTGGCTTTCTCTCCCACTCTAACCTCTTTTTTTTTTTCCTTCCCCTTCCCCATGGGTTTCTGTTAAGTTTCTCAGGATCCACAGAAGAGTGAAAACATATGGTATCTGTCTTTCTCTGTATGGCTTATTTCACTTAGCATCACACTCTCCAGTTCCATCCACGTTGCTACAAAGGGCCATATTTCATTCTTTCTCATTGCCACGTAGTACTCCATTGTGTATATAAACCACAATTTCTTTATCCATTCATCAGTTGATGGATATTTAGGCTCTTTCCACAATTTGGCTATTGTTGAGAGTGGTGCTATAAACATTGGGGTACAAGTGCCCCTATGCATCAGTACTCCTGTATCCCTCGGGTAAATTCCTAGCAGTGCTACTGCTGGGTCACAGGGTAGGTCTATTTTTAATTTTTTGAGGAACCTCCACACTGCTTTCCAGAGTGGCTGCACCAATTTGCATTCCCACCAACAGTGCAAGAGGGTTCCCGTTTCTCCACATCCTCGCCAGCATCTATAGTCTCCTGATTTGTTCATTTTGGCCACTCTGACTGGCGTGAGGTGATATCTGAGTGTGGTTTTGATTTGTATTTCCCTGATGAGGAGCGACGCTGAGCATCTTTTCATGTGCCTGTTGGCCATCCGGATGTCTTCTTTACAGAAATGTCTATTCATGTGTTCTGCCCATTTCTTCACTGGATAATTTGTTTTTCAGGTGTGGAGTTTGGTGAGCTCTTTATAGATTTTGGATACTAGCCCTTTGTCCGATATGTCATTTGCAAATATCTTTTCCCATTCCGTTGGTTGCCTTTTAGTTTTGTTGATTGTTTCCTTTGCTGTGCAGAAGCTTTTTATCTTCATGAGGTCCCAATAGTTCATTTTGCCTTTAATTCCTTTGCCTTTGG